CGCGAAAGAGCATAGCCGAAAACGGTATAGAGGCACAAAATTGAAAATCGGTGTTATCTTAGAAAAGTTTTTGCGCCGAATGCGAAATTCTAGCGGTTCATTATTATACGAACACCTCGAACGAAGCTTCCTTCTCGACTCAAAACTGCAACCTTTTGAATCAAACATTATTTAAAAAATACAGTAACAAAGCCAACACGTGTGGGGAACGAACGGAATTCGAACGATTGTTAATAAAGCAAATATAAGGGACAATATCTTCAACTTATCTCAGCGAAACCGAGAATTTGCATTTTCATAGCCTTTTTTACCTTGGAAAAAGGTTTCTGTCGAATTTTCGCCAGAATTTAATACAAAATTTCTCAGTTATCCTCTCATTTGAACAGAATCCAGTTTCAGAAGGTTAGGAAAGCTATTGGAATTAAATAAAAACGAGAAACTGCGCTTAAGTCTTGCGCAGAGAGTCGCGCACGAAAGCGCTGTCTATCTCGTTAACGAGTGATTTTGAAAGCTTGGGACGTTGTCAGTTCTCCTCGTCGTGTCATGACGATGAGAATGATATATAATGTTGCAGGGTTTCGTTGAGACTCCGCGGAGATCTACGACCAGAGCCAAATGCCCCGTCGGCTCTGGTCTGTCTCCGCTGCTCGTCTGCGTCTCCGCGCGCTGCGCGCTACCTCGCTACCCCAAACGCGGGGCGGGGGCATTTGGCTCTGGTACCCTTTTCTTCGTTGTTTCGAGCCCAATTTTAGCAATCTATATATCGATTTGATGCTCTTGATCTCTATTTTCATGCTGACAACGTCCCAAAACCACATTTTCTGATTCGATCGAGAAATCCGGCAAAAACCTTGTTTTCGAAAATCTCTTGTTTTTCTCTTACTTGAACTATTTTCACACGGTTTTTTCGTACATTCTGTAGATCTTGCTTCTGTTCATAATGCAGACAATCACCCAGCCCTTACCTCTTCGATTATAGTGAAATTTTTTGCAAAAAATCGTAAAAAGTGCGTTTTTCTTTACCTTGCCCTGTTTCAGTGCTTTCGCATCGATTTTTTCCAGCTTGGGCGATTATTGCTCAGAACAATAAGCGCAACAATCCAGACAACGTCCCAGAGAACAGGAACGTCATTGCGGGGGTAAAAATTTAAAGGACGCATCAAAAATCAAAACCCCGTGTTGCGAATTGCTGGTCCTGGAGCGAAAGCTTGCACTTCGAAAAGCCGCTAAATGGAAGATTTCAGACCTCTTCGCAGCATTTTTATCCGGTTTCCGCAGTTCCTTTCGCTTTTTATATCTGTTTTACGTCATATTCTCTTCTCTGATCTTCTTTATACAACCTTCAATATTTATGACGTCAATGTTTCAAACAACCTTCACTTTTGACGGCCTGTCTCTAGACTATCAAAGGTATGGCCCGGACACTGCCTTTAACCCGACCGTACAGATCCCGAAGTTCTGGAACAGTCCAGCACAGTTCTCGCACTGCGCTGGAACTGTGCCAGGACTGTGCTGTATGCGCTGCAGCCACCCGCATGCGGTTTTGAGCGGCGCGAAATAACAATTTCGACGGTTGTTATGAATTTCGCTCGTTGTCACCTCATCCTTGTGTCTCGCTTGTTTTTGTGATTAAAGAAGTTTTAGACTTAGAGAGGGTATAAGAATAAGCGCTATTTCGTTTTGTCATCAGCTGAAAACTTGACATACTGATGCCGCTTCCATTCCTACATTTCTTCAAGTTTGACGTTTTTCACCTGTAGCAGAACAGTAATCAGAAACGAAAGAGCAGCAGTAAAAGTTGTGAAAGTAAATGGGACTGAAACGTCCAAAAACCCAGTTTCATGAGAACACAAGGAAAAATTCTTTCCGCAACTGTGGTGGTTGTATCAGTCCTCTCTGAAGACAACTGAAGATTCGAGGATGCAGCGACTCTCTGAAATACAAAAAGAGCGTTTAGGGCACGCAAAAGATAGTAGATTATTTACAAAAGACATAACATGAAAAAGTTTCATTCTCGAATCCCGTTTCAAGTTCGTATTTCTCTATATATTTTTACAATCAAAATCGGAAGAAAGTCAAAAATTGCCACTTCGCGCGGCTCAAAACCGCATGCGGGTAGCTGCAGCGCATGCGGCACAGTTCCGGCACAGTTCCAGTGCAGTGCGGGAACTGTGCTGGAACTGTTCCGGAACTTTGGAATCAGTATGAACCCAGCCTAAGGCTTCAGGACTAGTTATCACACGATTAATGCTCCATCATGTCCTGCGAAGAACTCGCGGTCCGAAAGCAACGTTAGAATAAACAAACTGATTATTTAAAAAGCAGACCAATCATATTACACCAAAATTTGACTGTACACATAGAAAATGACCTGCGGAAAATAGAAAAGTTTTTAAAACTTATGTAAAGTTATACCTTTTCCAGAACCAGTTTGTTTCCAAATGTTCACCGTACGCTCTGAGGTCGTATGGAGCATATGATTCTTCTATTTTACGTAAGTTTTGAACTTTTCTATCATGGATGCCGCGATCAAAAGTCTATCCCTAAGCATGAAAACATTCATGTAGTTGCCTTCATTGTTTTTTTTTGCCTCATTTTTTTGCCTCACTTCATAAATGGCTTTGTAAGATATCGCCTATGCCAAACTCCCGCGCATCCGCGGTACTCAAGGTCACTTTGCATTTTCACTCTTAGGCCCGTATGCACGTACATCCCCGCTGGGGAGGGGAGGGGAGCTGGATCCCCAGGGGAACGATCCCCTCCGCCGAACCCCGCCATGACAGAGGGGAGGGGAGCGATCCCCTCCCCTGCACCTAAGCGGGGATGATGTGAATGGTTTCAGAGGTATTGATCGAGCGAACCCCAGTGCATACGGAGTTCGAATGGGGAAGGGGATCCCTTCCCTTCCCCCACTCGAACCCCGTATGCGCGAATTCAACTCAATAACGCGGGGGAGGGGATCGACATCCCCTGCAATGAAGTAGGGGTTCGATGGTGTAGATCATGCCAGAGACGCGGATATTCTGGTTCTGCTCAGTCATTACCAAGCATTTCGATCATTTTGACGGAGGATTTTCTTTGAAAGCCGGGTTCTTCTCTCAGCGACCTGTGGCTTGCAATTTGTCTTTCTTTTCTATATTCGCCTCTTGAGAAGGAATCCGAGCAATAATAGCAGCCAATTTCGACTATTTGTAGGAGTTCTTGATCATTCAGAAAATTTGTGCATTTTCATATAACATAATAGTTTTAACTATATAGGCTGAGTAAACACTTTGTAACTTTCATATTTCATGACATGTTGCCATTATCTTGTTATTTTAACATAAGCTGCCTCGAAAAAATCTAGAAAGTAGCACATTTGCCTATTTCTGAGTAGAAATCCCCTGGGGAGTGATCCCCTCCCCAGCGTTCCCCTTGTGCATAGCAGGGATGGCCGCTGGGGATCATTCCCCTGGGATGAAGGACGATATGCTGCTGATAGCTACAGCGTTTATGGAGAACTGGCACAATTTGCCGCTTCTGTTATGTGTTAAAATACTGCTTTGAGCGTCCGCGCGGCACCCCCCCCCCTTTTCGGCAGCATAATGTCTTCTACCCATTCCCTTGCAGAGACACATCAACTTCTATAGTTCAACATTTTTACGCTGAAATGGGGCAGCATGAGCGAAAGTGGGCAGCATCCAAGAAAGCAGGAACATAATGGGAGTAGAAAAAATCATTTTTAGTGCCCCGAGCACAGTCACTGCATACGCGCATTCCGCAACCCTAAATTATTGAAAGTGATGAGATGAAGATGAGTTGCAGTCAAAATATGAAATAAGAAAGAGTTTTTTATAGAAAATTTGAAAGCAAGGTGGTTTCCCCGCTTGATCCCCTCTTGTGCATAAGGGGGTTCACTTCCCCTCCCCACAGGGGAGGATCCCTTGTCCGATATTGTCTTTGTGCATACGGGGGTTCGCGCGGGGAGGGGAGGGGATCCCCAGCGGGGATCATTTCAATGGTTAAGCGCACATCCCCTCCCCGCGGGGATGTACGTGCATACGGGCCTTAATTCAACTTTTTCTTGCGCATCCGCAGTATACCTCACTTTGCATTTTTTTCACTCTTATTTCAGATTCTTTGCAGACTAATATCTCTTTCTATTTTCATCCTCTCCTAAGTCAGTAGGTTTTTTACCGGACTCAAAGGGGATATGGTAAATTCCCGAATGTTAGGAGGACTTCGTCCTTAGAAACTCTAGAAACCGACTTGTGCCGAGTCCTATCGATTGCCTTCATCGATTTTATTTTTTCCACACTGAGCTATGGGGCTGCGAGTTGGCTTGGAGGGGGGGGGGAGTGAGCATGCTGAAGGAAAATAGAGGTCAGGAGTTGGCATACAACAAGGAAATGCTTTTGTAGAAGTGGGAGTAACTTATGTGTTCTAACTCTATGGTTTTATCTTGACAGAGACAGAGAGAAACCAAGTATTGCGGGTAGTCAGCAATAAAACTGTGGTTTAACAAACAATTCGAGTCACATATGTCTTCAAATTACAGCAAGACATCGCTGAATACGTCCACCCAAAATTTCGTTTTAAACCTTTCAGCAGTTGTCGGACCTTTCTAAGGCGCAGATTTCGGATGTAGGGCTCAAATTATCAGGAAGCTCCAAGATTGCCCCTTTCTGCAGCCCTATTTTGGCAGACGTGGACGAGATCCGCGGGGCTAGTCAGGTCGTATGCAACAATTAACTTCGTCGTGTGCGACGGTGCCACATCACAAACTATGCGTCTCGACGTTGCTTGTCGTGTTCACGTCACGGTACAATCCGTGGGTGAGCGGAGCGCAGAGAGGATCCAGGTCCGTATCTGCTTTCGAAGGCAACATTAGGAGACCCGATCAAAGCGGTTGGTCACTTTTAGGCCTGCTAGTGGGATAAGTGGTAATTTGAAGTGAATAGATTTTGGGCGGACGCTGACTTCAATGCTTCTAGAACAATAAGAAGGCTCTTGATGCACTCATGTTTTAGCTAGTTGCTTCACATCCTCTCGCAAAAATTATATTTTCACATCAATAACGTCCAGTTATCACATGGAGCTTCGAATGCCAAACGTTTGAACAACTGCAAACTTCGAACAACAGAAAAAGCGAAAGCTTCAATTTAGGATTTGTAGTCACTCACATACCACGAGCCAATATGAGAATTATTGTCATTATCAGATAGTAAGCAAAGATTCACACGGTAGGAGTGAGAGTGAGCAAAACAATTTTACATTTGTTATAGCATGTGTTCACTGAAGCCACTATTGGAGTCTTCGTCTACAAATACTGGTCTTTCGAGGAACTGGGCACTTTCCAGGAATGCCCTAGCAACTGTCGCTTCCTCCTCGTGTCGTGCTTCGCTGTTTTCATCCTCCTCTTGAATAACACCAACACTCTGAGGCATGGCAAAGCGAATGCGATAAATTGCGTCCTCTTTCAGCATTGCTCGCAAGCTTTGGCTAAAAAAGTTGTTTCAGTTTAGAAGCGTAAAATAGAATGGGAGTTTTCGTTACCAGGCTCCGTGGACTATTAAGTTGGACCAAAATTTTGGGGTTTCATATGAATTATCACATAATTGCTAACTCGACGGATTGATAATAACTTTGCTCTAAGAATAGCGGCGCGGAAATAAAAATGAAAGAAGAAGTCCACTCAGTCTTTGACCACTATATAAGTGAATTTGTTTGTTGACCTACAATCCCTAGCTGAAAGAAGGTTTGAGCGCTATCGCATCTTCTTTGCGTTACAATCTTGGAAGGACTGTCAGATGCATGATTTTCGATAATTATTACCTCAAAAGTCAAAATTTTTTGTAGAGAAAGTTTAGCACAGTCTTGTACTTTTTGCAACTTTCAGATTGTTGCCAATAGATTACGAAATAACCAAAGCTCAAGTGGTCTTCTTTAGTACTTCAACTCTGCAGTCAATGCTCAGTGAAGAGCTGGCGATATGTCGTTGCAAAAAATATGGATTATTTTTTTTTGAAAACTCAATGTCAAGCAAATTTGTAAGATAAAAGCTATAAATTTATGGAAGTTTATTACGTTATTAGTTTATTTAGTTTGATTTATGGACCAACAAAGTGTGAATCCAACCTTATAGTAACGTAGGTGCAGCAAAAGAATCTTCTGTTGGTTGTTTGCTTAGACGAAACCTTATGGCAGTGTGCAATCTTTATCCCCAATCAACCACTTACGGACGTGCACTCGTGTAGGTTCTGTTGTCGAGTTCAGAATTTTCCATTTCCAGCTTGCTGTAGGCAACAACTCGTGTGATATGCTTGGTAACTTTCCGTAGTGCCGAATCCTTGCGCACTTTAGGGCGCCTGAAACTATGCACATCAAACTTTAGCGTAACTAGATTTTTCCTAAGCCAAAGAGAAGATTATGGGAGTTGAAATTTTGTCGGTAATACAATATTGCTCATATGTAATTCGTGAAGAAAGTCACCGAACTGTACCGGAATTTACGAAATTCGCGCAGCATCGCCATACTTGGTTTATTGTGGACGATTTCCAAGGGCACTGTTCGACTCAGCTCGCTGTGGCAAATCCTTTAATGCATAGCGGATGCGGACGGTAGGAGGTCAGATTCCACGTATTTTTTCAAGTCCGTGCTTACGGTAGGTCACTCACAATTAGTGTGCTTGTTCGTCGTACACCAAGTAACCTACCGTAGGCAAAAAATATAATCTGACGACCTACCGTATCCAAACGGGCGCTTTCATATATCAGAAAATGCATGTTGTCGCGCTGAGTGATGCTCTCGGTTCAAAGCATACACTTTGAAACAAGATATGGCGATGCGACGCGAATTTTTAGGCCCCGGTCAGACTTCACGCGACTTAATCGTCGCGACCAAATCGCCAAGATTTCCATTCATTTTCATTTCACATTCAAAAATTTCGGTCTGGAAAAGTATCACAACCGAATGCAAGTTGATCTGCATGGAATGATGTTGTAACAGTTGTCTCCTCGCGATTCAGTCGCGACGATCAAATCGCGTGAAGTCTGCCCGGGGCCTTAGGGGGTTCATGGATTAAGGTGACTTCTTTACGGATTATGAGCGTTAGTTTGCCGTTATTCAATTCGGGTGATGCTAAACAGAGTGTTTGTGCGTATGCGCGACGGCAGTTTTTGAAAATGCGAGAGTGCAAAGAAGTCCTAAAAACGGATCAAAATTTACACAAATCATCGAATGCCTACATTGATCCGCCAAGTTATATTTATAGCTAAAAAACAGTACTATTTTATACAAGGTGCCCCAAAAGTAAGTACACACTTTTCAAACTGTAACAACTCTCTTCCCACAAGTCTTTTGCTTAGCTTCCGATACCATTCAGTAGAGCATGCTTCAGCTTAGATTCACAAAATGGGGCGAATTATCCATCCCTCTTGACTACTGGATTACGGTAGAAACTTTGGAGAGGGTTCTGAGACGTAAGTGGCTACACTCTGCCCCAGAATGGATGCACAACGAGCTGAAAAGTTATCTTAAGTTTTGAGTAGACAATGAATACGAAATTTGCAGTTTATCTTAAGATATTTTTCGTGAGTTATGCAACGTCAATCGGCAATAGCGTTAATTTAGCGTTTTCAAAAATGACATTAAAGTAATTGAAACACTTGGAATACCTGTAAAAAGTTGTCTAAGAAATCAGCATGTCTCAAAACACTGTTACGTAATTTCCCAGATTTTTTTGGAATTTTTTTTCTAAATGGCCTATTATACAGTGGTGCTGTATGCTGGAATACCGTGATTTTACAGTAATGAGAAACGACAGGAATTACGCTAATATGAAGCTCCATACTGCACTGAGTTAAAGCCTGCTCTACTGGAATATACTTGAAGCTAATCAAAATACTCTGTGGGAAAAGAGTTATCAACTATTAAAAAGTGTGTACTTACTTTTAGAACACCCTGTAGTTCCACGTCTGTGAAACCAGTTTGCCTTCTATTCTACAGTATCGAAAATCCTCAAAATTACTTACCCATGAACGTAGTTCGTGACTATATGAAAGAAATGTGAGCGAAATGTTGTACTCATGACGAGCATGAGAGGAAACAACACGGAGTAGGAGAGCCCGTATAAGATCAGCTGTAAATAAAGTGATCATACGCTGAAGGAAGTCTACTTCCAGCCATTACCTTGAATGCTTCATCTATTTCACATCCCTGTAACGCACAAAATGTGCTTGGCTGATGTACTACTGACTGCGATGTCATCAGCGCCAGCAAAAGCGGACGAAGGTTGGCAAAAAGCGGAGCATGTTTAGCCGCATATGGTGATCCAATTTGTGGAAAGAGACAGCGCTCGGATATGATGAAGCAGAAGCAGCAAAAAACTCCTATCCTGCAAATACGGATATGGTTGCCAATTATTTTTTTTACATCGTATGATATGGCTAACCAAATTTTGCGGAAATTTGTTAGCACGTTTTCGTTTCCTACTGACAATAAGTTTAATATTTAAGCACTATTTATCCTGTACATTCACAAGCAACTTCGTTATAAATAGCTCATCTAAAAGCAGAATATTAAAACACTGGGATTTACGTCAACCTAAACTATGATTACAACTTATGAGCCCGCAGATTCTTAGTCAACTATAACATATTCGCAATGTTGAACATTCGGCTCTTTCCAGAAGGCTTGCTTTTCTGCCTAGAATGACAAAAATGCCACAACTCATTGAATTTACAATGATAGTTAAGGGATAGAGTCGGGGATTTTGAGGGTAACTGCAAATAACATTCTTGAATAAACATCTCCAAACTATAACAGTTTCAATTTTTGTGGAGGCTTGTGGTAAGGGTTGTGGAGACTTTTGATGATGATGTTTCGATAACTCGAATGTTTCTTACGAGTTCCATTACAAAAAAGTATTTGAAGTTCAAGTTTCGCACTGAATGTTTTCAGCGACGAACTGAGCCCTCTGTGTCTACCCTTTGATTCAACCGGCTTGGCGGCTGAAAGGCGGGGCTTCGTGACCTAATTAAGACTAGGTGGTGAATCAGGGAGCACGCGCGCGGGAGAGACGCAGACTGCATAGCGAGCGCGAGCGGCCTTAATCGGGTCACAAACCCCCCCCCCCCCTTCCAGCCGCTAAGCCAGTTAAATCAAAGGTTACATACAATACCATCGATGCCGCCTTTAAAATTTCCGAAAAAACGCGATGTCGCGTTCAAAGCGCCGCAACCTCGTAACTCCCTTCAAAATCATTTTTTAGCAGAGTGGAACACAGATTCGGAATCAGCGTCCTACAATCTATCTAAATCCATAATTATTTTTTCGGAAACTCAAATTTTTCACTGTACTGGTGACGTCACGGTGAACGGCCACGGTCCTAGGCTTTTTAGTTCTTAAGTCGCTTATGGCCGGTAATCAATGAGATTGGCTGGTATAAATCATTAAATACATTGAAAGGATTCTGCTCCTTGTTTTTCATGAAGTTTTGATGGTCTAGAACTTTTTTTATTTCAAATCAAAAAAACTTATTTCACGGCGCGAAGTTCGAACTTCGAAGCTTCGCAAATTCATAAATTTCTATTCTTAGGCGAAATGTTTTATGCCAGCAAATACTACAGAAAATTCCCTATAAGAATTATTCTAATGCACCTATTTGTTCGGGTTCTTACGCGAGATATCTGAGCCCGAAAGAGGGTGCTCGTGCTCTGATTGCCGTGTGGGACCATTTTTAAAAGACCGTATCTTAAGGATGGGGGTGGTCACGTGCTAGAGTTTTTGCATAGCGATAAAATGGGCTTCGATAATGAAGATCTGCATGCGTATGAGTGCTTGATGGAGAAACTAACTGCACAAAAATGAACGGAAAAATGCAGAATTACATAATTACGACTTGATTTTTCACCATATTTGGGATCTCACCAACCATCACAATTTTTAGATATTCGGACTTTGCATGCGATAAGCTTTCGAAAAATATATAATTTGCTTCCCCTATCGGCACAGAAAAGTGATCTGATTTATTATCTGCCTCTATTTGATCCGCTAAGTGAGCTTGGGTGCACCTGCACCTAGCTGTGACACTGGCCTCTTCGCACCTCGCCGATGCAAAGGTGCGAACCTTGTCTTATGGATAACTAGAACATCGATCGATTTCCCAGAACACTCATCACTCATCACTAGTGATGGAGTTAATGACAGATGTACAGAATTTCAAATCTGCCATAATTTAACAAAAAGAAATCTTCAAACTTTGAAAGCTTGACGATCATTTTTATTTTATTTTCTATTTTTTCCCGTTTTAACCATCGATTGACTTTATAGGATTTGCTTTTTTGATCGGGTTGATTTCTGTCAATTTCAGTTGAACTAGCTGGAAGAAAGAATGGTAATTTTTGATTTCGAACAGCCTCAATGAAAAAATTGAGATCAACTTCACTGACCTAGATGGACAAGAAAATAGTATTTTCTGATTTTGATGAACTTCGATGACCTAGTTGGACAAAAAATAGTATAAACTTTGATTAGCATCAGTGTTCAAAATGGAATAGAAAATAGTAATTTCCGATTTTGAACAGTCTTAATGACGTAGCTGAGCGAGAAAATATTATTGTAGAATTGTGCATATTACCTATTACCATTGCATATTGCTGTAGAATTGTGCATATTACCTTCACTCTTGAATATCAAGACAATTTGACTTTTATGAACAATTGCTCCAATTATTCAAAATTTTTTTAGAGGCATAATAAAAGATTACGGAGAGCGTGATAACGATACGCCTTTGTATTTGAAACAGCTGTAACCTATTTCTTTTTCGATTCTTAATGGTATAATTTCGAATCAAATCATGACTGGGAATACCTAATTCGTGCGCGAGTGCGCATATCAACAACCAATTTATATGGTTCTTCCACCCAAGCAATCGCAAATAACTTCCGAGGAAACTGAACGTCTAAAACTTCCGGAGGGACACTCCTATTAGAGCTGTCAGGTAGGGGGGGGGGAGCAGGTACGGGCAGGCGGGATCCACCCACACGGCCCAATAGGAGCGTCCCCGGAAGTTTTAGAAGTTCAGTTTCCCCCGGAAGTCATTTGCGATTGGAACAAGAATGCTCAGAACGAAATGCTGCATATCGACACTGCCAAAATCCAAAGCTGTAACTACGCAAGTTGTTGGAATTACAAAATTCACCCAACTAGCACTTTTATCAGGCGGGGTGATACTGACGTTATCTCACTTGAACTGCATTGAAGCCTAATTTTTGCGTTGGAGCAGAGATTAACCTACCAATAAACTACGGTAGGCGTGAAGCGAATGACTTCCATCTTGATATGGTCCTGACGCGCGGTTTCAGACAACTTAGCTCGTCCAACTACTAGTCGTTGGTTACTGCAAAAAACGAATCTGTTGACTATCGATTGTGAAGAAAGCACTAAACGCGGTAATAGTCGATGAGACTAACCCAATGAGGCAAAAGTCATACTCTAAGTTGTACTCGAAACAGAGTGAGACGTTCAAAATCACTCCAAATGGCAGAATCCAGCAAATTTTTCGCCAAGCCACCCAAGGCAGAGTGTTCCAACGTCTTGATCTCTGAATTGTATGATATACGGGATTTTGCCGACATGCTGTGGTGGAGCGACTTACCCGAACATAATTTAGCAGCAGCTGTAGTCGAAAAGCGAAGCAGAAGCAAAGAGATGAAATGGTGAAATGGAAGAGCCCGATCGCAACGGGCAGAAAATTTGTGGCAAGCCATGTCTGGCCTCTTTGATAGTGTCCAGTGAGGATTTTGAGTGGAAATGGTACGATGAAGAATATGAACTGCATGATGGCAATTATCCGAAGGTAGGTGAAGCTGAAAAACCGTACACTTTGAGGAATTTTCTAGTGCAGATTATTATAGTTTATGGAGCACTTGTTACAAAAATTGCATTAATAAAACTCATACATACTTGTGCCAGATTATCCAAAAATGAGAAGACTCTTTACTCGCTGTTACCCCCTCCCCTTCCCTCCCCTCCGAAAATGGTCCACTCAATCCTCAAATGGGTATATTACTGCAGAGCAAAAATAACTTGAGTTCAATCTGAGTAGCCAAAATAAATGATACTAGAAATTTAAAGAGTTGGATGGCCTTTGTGAAATATGTACCAAGCAAAGGCGCTCCCAGAATTCCATTTTGGGAGCGGGGGAGAGGGGAAGGAAGGGGGGAACAAAGAAATTTTTTGATAAAGGGGCGTAACGTTAGCCACACACTCCGAAGAATTTGCAATGCCTTCCAAAATTTTTGCCAATCGAAAAAATCTTTTCAAGGCTAGTACGAATTTTGAAAAATTTTGAAAACTCTTCAATCTTCTTATATATAAAGCTAAATGTCTGTTTGTCTGTATGTCTGTCTGTCTGTAGGTATGTACGTATGTTCCGAATAGAAAATTCCATTTCTGAACCGATCGGGACCAAACTTGGCACACATACACTTTGGGCCCCGGCGGGTGTCATAGGCTACTTTTCGTCATCGATCGATATCGATTTTATCGATTTTTTGGAAAATTGGAGCTACAGGGCTGGGAGTTGGCACAGGGGGGTAATCGAGCATGCTGATCACCCCCGTGGGGGTGATCAGCATGCTCGATTGCACCCCTCTGCCAAATTCCAGCCCCCTAGCTCAAATTTTGCAAAAAATCGATAAAATCGACATCGATCGATAACGAAAAGTGGACTGTGACACCCGCCGGGGCCCAAAGTGTATGTGTGCCAAGTTTGGTCCGGATCGGTTCAGAAATGGAATTTTCTATTCGGAACATACGGCGGAGCCGGGTAAGCCAGCTAGTCACATATAAGTATAAACAAGTCACTCACCCATTCTCATAACTCATGTAAGTAGTTTAGTAACTTCGCGACCCATTCTCGGGAGAGGTGAGCTCCCCCCCCCTCCTCAGTCCGCCACTGGCATCAAGGGTTATATTTTTGAGCTTGCATATGGAGGCCCTCTTGCCTTCCCCTTCATATGAGAAAATTCGCCCTCGCTCCATTCCTTTCTCCCTCCTCCCTCCACTCCCTCTCCAGCCCATGCCTAGGGACTTTCACTGGGCATACGTTCATTGTTATACGATTAATAATGACTTCGATTTTTTTGTAAGTCTTGTGATCCTGCTCAATCGCCTCCTCATTATTCTCCTTTTAACTGAATTTTACACCATCGCAAAATATCGTAACCTTGCAGTTCCGAGTTTCGCTCTGCCGGAGAATTGTAGTAAAAGTAGTAGATTGCTAGTAATGCCAAAGAAAACCAGCATCAACTGTGCCATGACCACCACATTGTCGACTGTTGGTTCCTAAAACTTTTTTATTGGTTTGATTTCTACTCCTACTGCTAAACTCACCTGATAAATCTCGTGGCATTGCGGATGCGTAGCATTCATCACGACTTCCTAAAGATGAGTTTTTGCAACACAATCACTGTGACTGCTCAGGGCAGCCAATACACGCAAGCAGATATTGCAAACACCTATACAGGGTGTCCCAAAAGTAAGTACACACTGTTTAATGGTTAATAACTTTCTTCCCAAAAATTCTTTTGCTTAGCTTCAAGTATGTTGAGCGAGCTTCTTTGATCTACAAAATGGAGCCAATCACCGGTCGATCTTGCCTACTTCAGAATTACGGTAGAAACTTGTAGCTTACAGCGCCACTGTCGACTAGACGTTTTCAGAAAATTTTTCCACACAATCTTTTGTTAATCAGCTTCTAATGAGTTTGTGGAGTTTCTTGAAGGGTGCAGTCAAATTTCAATTAGCCTTGTAAAAGCAGCTGTTGCGGTTGACTTTGTGCAACTTACAAAGAACATTGCGGTAAAGTGCAGAGCCAATCAATGTCAGCGGTTCTGAATAGCCTAGTGTAGGAAATTTCAGTAGTTTGATCTGCTTTCTGAAGCGAGCTAGGACGCTCAGTGGCTCAAAGCCCTTCCTAGATCTGTGCCGTAATCCTACAGCAACGACGAGCGATGAATGTTCGCTCCATACAGCCTGCTCTACTGAAGGGTACTCAAATCTAAGCAAAAGGCCTTGTGAGAGGAATGTTAATGGCGATTGAAAAGTGTGCGCTTACTTCTGGAACACCCTGTATAACACGGTAAATAAAGAAAGGCGAATGAGACTGATCGAGTTGCGATTTCAATAGATCAGCAGCACAAGCTGAAATAGTCTACAAACATTCCAAGAATACTTCTGATATTGATCTGAGAAAAAACAAAGCTTAGAGTTTGAATATGAACATGGATAGAAATGTTGAATCATGAATTAAACTGTTATCCGCGATAAGTCGTAGACTGCATAAGATCACACTTCACAAAAGAAAATATAAGCTTCATAACTTGCTTGCTAACTTCTTTTTTACGAAAGAACGAAAGTGCTATTCCAAATTTATGAAAACTCACTCAGACAATCGCAAATGACTTCCGGGGAAAACTAAACATCTAAGGGCCGCATGCACTAACCTCCCCGCTGGGGAGGGGATTGCAGCTCAAAAGAAAGCTTCATATTCTGAAGCTCCAAATATTTGGATTTCACGTTGTGTACCTATCCGTAAGTATTCCTACTACCCTTCACTATGAACATGTTGAACAGAAGCGAGAAGCTGTACGAACCGCGTTTTCCAGCTTTTGTATGATCCCTGATGATCCCCGGTGCTTTTCTTTAAAGTCATTTTTCTTTCTCCGAAGTCAACGAAAAACTTCCAAAGTTGTACTGAACATCTAACACAACAGTGTGAAGCATATTGCTTATGAGAACAAATAAGTTTTTGAAAAGTCGAATTTTTCGGCAAACCTCAAATTTCGACCTGTGGATCATCGAAAATTTCATGACTCCAAAACATCATTTGTTCTTATCAGCAACATGCTTAGCACTGTCGGGTTAGATAATACGCACAACTTTGGAGGTTTTCCGTTAACTTCGAAGAAAGAAAAATGACTTTAAAGAAAAGCGCCGGGGATCATCAGGGATCATACAAAAGCTGGAAAATGCGGTTCGTACAGCTTCTCGCTCCTGTTCAACATGTTCATAGTGAAGGGTAGTAGGAATAGTTACGGATAGGTACACAACGTGAAATCAAGGTAACTGGAGTTTTGAAATATAAAGCTTTCTTCTAAGCTGCGATCCCCTCCCCACGGCGATGTTAGTGCATGCGGCCCTAAAACTTCCGTGGCGGAGGGGGGTGGTGCAAGAGTAACCAAAGGGCTGCCGCCTGTATCCGCAGGAGATAATTAAGAGCGCGAGCGCTGTGGAGAATATTTTGGCAAGGATCCAAAAAAACTTGACAAAGATATCCCTAAGGAACAAATCTTCATAACTTTGCTCGAAGATGACGTTAGAAAATTGAATAAACAGATTTTGAATGCAAATTGGAAGGCGCATTTACTGGGCCTAAAGTAAGTGAAAATTTAGAATTGTAGTGGTAAGAAAAATCAACTTTCTTAAGGAACCTTTTTGTTTTATAGAATTTTGAAGTACAGATTGTTGAAGACCGGGATTTGCATTCAAATTTCATTTTTTTTTCTTTGAGATAAAGTAGTAATTTGCCTTTTTGGTCAATGAACTAAAGCAATCGAAATGTTATAATAACACATCTGTAGGCTTGAGTCAAGATGCATATGCAGTTTGTCTCATAACTAAAAACCTATTCTAATTTTAAATTTAGACACTAGAGATTTCATAGGATTCGTCATTGAAACTATGTCGTTAATTGTTTCGAAGCTGTACACAATAGCAAAATTTCATCACATGCAACTTAGTTAACATTATTTCCTGATTACCACTCCCAGCTTTCAACTTCAAATCCAGAAATTTCACTTAGAAAATCAATTAAATCTTTCACACAACACTGGACTTGAAATTCCTCAGCTTTTAGTGGTGAATTTTGAAGACTCAGTTTTTGGTAAAAATAAAACTCGAGTAACGAGACTGAGTTATTTATATATTCGGCAGGCGTATTATTGAAAAATGCGCATTTAAATACTGATTCCGAATCTCTCCTTTGTATTTCTGAAAGTCAATTCCAAGAAGAGTTTTATAGGTTTGTTTCCAATGGATGTCATCGCCAAGTTTTCCTGGATCCTCGCCATAATTTTCTCCACAGCGCTCGCGCTCCTAATTATCTCCTACGGCTACAGGCGGCAGGTCTTTGATTCCTCCTGCACGCATCAGGGCGGATGCTTCCTATTGGGCCGTGTGGGTAGGCCATGCCCTACCTGTCAGCTCCAATAGGAGTATCCTCCCGGAAGTTTTAGAATTTCAGTTTTCCCCGGAAGTCATTTGCGATTGTCTGAGCATGGAACTTCGTATTCGAAGTCAATTGCTTAGCTCAAGGCCTTCGGTCGCCTGGTTCGAGTTCATAGATATATTGTGAGTCTGATTGTTTATACATGTCTTCTCATCTTGGGACACCAGTGGCGTACCCAGGATTTCGGCTCGGGGGGGGGGGGGGCGCGACAAAAATTTTTTTCTAAAGAAGGTGCGTGGCGTTAGCCACGCACTCCGAAAAAATTTTGGGGGTGCTTCCCAAAATTTTTTAGGGTCCCCGACCCCTAAAATCTGGAAAAAGGGGGCGTGGCGTGAGCCACGCCCCCGAAAAAAATTTTTTTACAAGGCTAATTTGAATTTTTAAAAATTTTTAAAAATTATTTTAATTATTTACAAAAATAAACAAGTCACTTACACATTTTTATAACACATATTGGAAAATGGATTTCCTATATGCCTAATATACGTACAAAAGACGCGTTCCAGGAGTGTCAAAATCATGAGTTTCTCATAAGGAAAGAAAAGAAGAAAACACTGAATCAACTGCACAGAAATTCGCACTGAATCCGGTCACGGTCACGTATTAGGTTGGCACATAAGTAATGCAGCTTTATACAACTTTTGTCTTTTTTAACGTAGCGCATTCATTTTCTGGCAATATAAAAATTATGATGTAACCTGCAACTGCGGACATTTTTGCCGAATTTTGCCATCTTATGTAAGTAAGGGTTAAGGTAGGTTTACGGTACCATGGGAAAATTTTAGATTGCGTCAGATTTTGCTGAAACTTGGCCTATGGGGGTTATTCGACATACTGATCACAAAAATGAGACCCGTTTCACATGAAAAGGCCTCTTTCGTGAGGTCGAAAATTGAATGTCATCTTAGCGACAAATGAATACGATATTCGCGTTCATCGTATTAGATTACCCTATTGCGCAAAGTTTCAGCGAATTCTGAGGTTTCGCAGCTTAGTTATTGACATTGCCCTCAAAACGTGACACATTTGACTTGTACTTTTCAAAAGCCCCTCATCTTAGTTTGTCTTCAAATTTCACTTCTTTTTTGCTGATCCTAATGTGCCAACTTCTAGCTACATTCCTTTTTATGATATGCCTGATTCAGGTTTTGTACGGCTTCATGATTGGCAAAAACGTGAAACCTCGATTCTCAATTTCGGTTTCCGGAAAATGCTTGAATTTTTTTACTACTTTATCATAAATCAAACAGTTTACGCAGGCTTGCAGTATACGTCACACCCTACACGATGTCAAAAAATGAGAGTGCTACGTTAGTAAGAAGAAAGTTATGGGAAAAGTTGCAAAACTTATGTGCCAACCTAATAGTTAATTCACCCAAAAAATACCTAGTTGCCTTTTGCAAGCGAAGTGGCTTTCAGAAGGAGCTTTGGATGTAAATTTGAAAATGGCAATCAGCTTTAAGTGAGCCTTGATTATTCTAGATTTCGCAGGCGATTTGAATGAAAAACGAATTTAGAGGGTACATGCGGCTGACGGGACTGTACCTAATGTCACTCCTTCTCTCGAATTTTCGAGAGCGGGATGACTTATGTAAAGAAAGTAGTGCAAATAAAACACATTAAAATCCTTCACTATAAGCCATGAAAAGTAAGCTAGTGCTTGATTAAGCAACTACATAGCGCAAATTCTAGGTGATGCATGAATATGCCAGTGTTCTTCATTGTTTTTAAACTACAATGGTGAGAGAAACATTTATGTGATTGTATGAATCACTACAGAAGAGAGCTACAAGGTGACTCTCTAAGATATAATCATAGCAGAAACATAAAAAAATGAAAAAAAAAACAGAAAAAAAACGAAAATTGCCTGTGAGAGGAGAGGAAGTATCTGGACTATATTTTGGAGGCGATTTTCATAACTGTAAAAAAATTTACAGATTGATCAAGTTGAAAGTTAGCTTTGACAGCACAGCTTTGATATCTCAATAAAATCTCAAATGGGGTTTGTGATAGCGCATATCTCACGTTTTCGTGACCATTCACCACAATATAAAACACTCTAAGAATGCAGTTAATTTCACGGAGACGAAGCAGTCTTGAAAGCTTCAGCTACAATGTGGTATAATTCCTTTATAGGTGTCCC